GCCGCTGAGTCAGGGCTGGGACGCAAACCTGGGGCTGTCTCGTGTAGTCCACCGTCTGGTAGGTGCAGCCCAGCCTCTCAGCAGAGTCCCTTTGGCCTGGCCCCTTCACCTTGTCCCTCCTCTGACCTCTCAGCACAAGGTCAAGATCCCTGCCGATGGGGAAGGGGAAATGAAGCCAATTTAAGAAAAGAACTTCCCTGCCCAGAGTCCCACTGCAAGAGGGTGGCGGAGGCGGCCAGCCCCCAGGTCTCCTGACACCAGCCTGTGCTCAGTCACAGCACTCTGCCTGCCTCGTGTCTGTGCACTGACCTCCAGGCCAGACAGTGCCAAGGAGGGCGAGGGAAGGAGGGGCAGGAAAAGGCAGGGGACTCATCAATTGCTGGCAATTACACGGTGCGTTGTCATTCTTAATTAGCTCAGGACTCCACAGCCCAGAGATCTCCCTGTTGTTGTCCCGACAGGGGGAGGAGACAGCTGCTGGTCCTACCAAGAAGGACAGACTGGAGGGGTAGGGACCAAGGGGCCCCCCAGGAGCACCTCCCACAGCCCCATTAGGTGCTGCTGCTCCTCCAACTGCAGAGGGTCACCCACTTGCCAGACACACTCTGAGACCCAGAGGACAGAAGCGAAGTCAAGTCTTTGGGCGTGCTGGATGCCTCCTCTGTGCCAGGCGCTGGGGGCCAGCTGCTCCAGGGGACCCTGGGGTGAATGATGATTCCCAGTCCCTGTGATTGAGCCAGGCTTAGCTGCAGGGAGAGGCAAACAGCTTCACAAATAACCATAAAATGATAACTAGAGTTACCATTTACTGGGTGCTTGCCACGTGCCAGGCACGGGGCTAAGTATTTTCCGTATATTATTGCACAGAAGCCTCACAAAGCCCTCTAAAGTGGGTATTATACCCATTGTAAGGATGAGGAAACCGAGGCTCGGAGGTAGCTAAGGTTACATATACATAGGTGGAGGATTTGGTTTTAAAGCCCAGGTATGTGGAACTCCACGGTCAAACAGTTGTTGCTTAGGAATGTGTGTGTGTGTGTGTGTGTGTGTGCGCGCACGTGTGATGGGGAGAGAATACTGGCATGTGGGTGCGCTATGCTGGTGGGTTTTGGGGAGGAGGCCAACTAGATGTTCTGGGCAAAGGAGGGAGGCCAAGAGAGTTGAGGAGGCAATCTGGCAGGATGTTTCTGGAAAAGAAAGCAGTGTGGGAAGAGTCTGAGGAGGAAGGGGTTCAGAGGAAACTGGTTGGGGCTGTCAAGTCAGTGGCCGCAGCAGGCAGGAAGGCCCTGAAGTTTGGGTAAAAGGTTGGAGCCAGAGCCACGTCTAAGCAGGAGGCCTGCTTTCCAGTAGCCCCGGCTCCCTCTGACTCCCTGGAGGAGGGCTGTCACAAACTCGGGCCTGAGGAAGGGTGGGGCGTCCCTGCCCTGCCAGGTGAGGGTGCGGTGGGTGCCCTGGGGTGAAGCTGGACTACCCACAGCTTAGACTGGGCCAGGCTGGTTCCAATCCCAAGAAAGAGCTCCCTTCCCTGGGGACTGTCCAAGAATTATGATAATAATAACCACTCCAGCCATTTCATCCTCATTGTTCATGCAGTTAGGAAAGCGACCTCAGTTTTATTCAAATATGCAACATATATAGCACTTACTATAGGCCAGGCATAATTCTAAACATGTCACAAACATTAACTCTTTCAATCCTCAGAACAACCCCATGAGACAAAATCCTCATCGTCTTAGTCTGTCTGGGCTGCTCTAACGACATAGACCAGTGGCTCATAAACAACAGAAATTAATTTCTCACAGTTCTAGAGGCTGGGAAGTCCAAGATCAAGGCGCAGGCAGATTCTGTGTTTGGTGAGGCCCGCTTTCTGGTTCATATGCAGCTATCTTCTCACTGTGACCTCACATGGCAGAAGGGAGCAGGGATTTCCGGGCTCTCTTTTATACAAATCCCATTCACCTCCCAAAGGCCCCCTCTCCTAATTCCATCATCTTGGGGATTAGGATTTCAACCTATGAAGTTCAGGGACATAAACATTTAGTCCATTGCACCAATTTTACATTTTGGAGGACACTGAGGCATGTGGAATTTAAATGACTTGCCTAAGGCCGTGAAGTAAAGCAGTAGGAGAGCCTGGACCCCAGGCTCCAGCGTCCACGTGTTTAACTGCTGTGCCTGCTGTCTTCCCCTGATAACTCCCCTTTTACAGATGAAAAAGTAGGTGAAGGAGTTGGCTCAGGGGAGTGGGGAGTACAGACCACTTGAAGAAACCAGGGCTTCTGATCCCAGCCTAGGCTCTGTCTTGGTCCCACTGCAAGGCCAAGGGACAGCTGGAGAGAGGCTGAGACCCCTGCCAGCTCCCTGGCACCCACATCTCATTGGGGTCCTATGGGCCCAATGGGGAGAGAAATCAGTAGGATTGTAGTTCTGACATTATTTTACTAAAGACAAAATCCAGTTACTCCCACAGAGAGCTTCTTCTTCCCCTTTTATTGTTTTTTTTTCTTGCTTACTAAAAGGATACATGATCCTTGTAGAAACTACAAAGTTAGAGTAGATAAACAAAAAACCAAAACAAACAAAAAACCAGAAAAGAAAAGAAAAATCACCTTAAAACTTCCTCTTGAATACCGGTATAGTTTTAAGATTTCTTTGCTCCTTCTTAGCTGTTATAAGCAGGCAAGGTGGGAGGCCAGGAGACCTGGCTTCTGGTCCTGGGCTGCTGTGTAACCCTGGGCAATCCCTGCCCCTCTCTGGGCCTGAGGCCCCTCATCTGTGAAATGAGGTTTGGGTACGGTGACCTCAGAGGAGGCCCCTTGCAGCTCTGACCTTCTGTTTCTGCTTCTGTTTCTGGGGCCGGCAGAAGGGGCACTGGCAGGCTGCCCCTCTGCAGGGGATGCATGGCTGACAGCTCCCAGCAAGTCACCTCCGGGAGGATGTGAAGGCCGGTAAACAGTCTTCGTTGCACGCACAGTGTTCCCAGGCCTGCCTGCTTACTGCGCCCATATGGTGCCCCCTGCCAGCCGGACACCACCAGCTGCCCTTGGCCAGCCAGCCCTGGGTGACCGTTTCTCCTCCCCGTTCGAGAAAGCTCTCTCTCCTGTGCCAGGACCCAGCTCGGGGTAAGAGAGCTGGGGGGCTCTGCCCTGTGTATCCACCTACCCACTGCCACAGCCCTTTATGGGAGAAGGCAGCCTGGTGTGGTGCAAAGTGAAGGAGAGAGCAGGGGGAAAGGAGGGGGGAGGACAGCAGCACTGACTGCACTCCAACTCCATTTGGACCCCTTGCTGGGCATTTGGACTTCAGAAATGAATCGGAAAAACTTGCTGCCTTTGGAGGGCACAAAGTCTAGGGGAGGTGAGAAGAACAGAATCAGGCAGCAGCAACACTTGTGATGCTGAAGGTTCAGGACTGTGGGAGCCCACAAGGAGAAACCTAATCCATGGGTGGTAGTCGGGGAAGGCTTCCTGGAGGAGGCAACTTTAAAGGTGGGTTCCCAAGGACAGGTTCAGCCTTTCTAACTCCTGTTATGATATTTAATCCTTATAGACAGCTCTGTGGAATAGTACTGTTGCCCCTTTTACAGATGAGGTTCAGAAAGGTGAGTTCACAACCACCTAAAGAAGGACAGTTGGGTCCCTAACTTCTGACATTGTACTCTAGCCTATGGCCTAGGGGCATGAGTCTGAGTGTAGCCTCTGACTCTCTGAGACCCCCCCAGTGAGTGCTTCCCTCCCCTAACCCAATGCTTTTATCTGGTCTATTGCTGGCTGCACTATCCACGTGAGCAGTGTTGCCGGGAGGAGCAAAGGCCAGAATGGCTAAAAAAGCATTTAGTTTATAAAACAGAGTAGAATGTCAGCAAGGCCTCCATATCTAGCTGGGGACAGCACAGCGCTGTCTTTCTCCCAGCACAGAGACAGGACAGCGGAGTCTGAGCCTGGAGTAATTACAGAGGCTGAAGTTCGCCTTGCCTGAGGCAGCCCCATCTAAAAGAAGCCAGGCTGTGGCTTGGAGAAACGTACTCTCCCTTTGACTCCTTTTGGCACAGTTTGAAGGGAAGGCATAGGAACCTCTCAAATCCTGGAGTTAGGACATCTGTGCTTGAGGAATTCGAGGGTCCAGACTGCCCTCAAAGTGCCTCCTAGGAAACAGGGTGGGGTCTGCATCAAGGTCACACAGGAGCTGGCCCTGGCAGGTTGGAAGGATCGCTAGAGATAGGATCGCATCTCATTTTACATGCAGATAAAGAAAAAGACCCAAGGCCAGGCACCGTGGCTCACGCCTGTAATCCCAGCGCTTTGGGAGGATCGCTTGAGCCCAGGAGTTCGAAGTTACAGTGAGCTATGATAGTGCACACTGCACTGCAGCCTGGGTGACAGAGTGAGACCCTGTCTCTGTAAAAAAAAAAAAAGACTCAGAGGGGACGACTTGCTTGAGGTCACACAGCAAGTCAGTGTCAGAGGCTAAGGCCTCTTTCTCCGACACCTGAGAGGATGACACCCCAGGTCATACCATCTCTGAGGCCACCTTGGGAGGTGAGGAGGGCAGGGGGGCAGCCTAAAGTGCCCAGCTGGTCTGGCTAAGGGCAAACTTTTATACTCCTGCCCTGTTGCTAACAAAGTTTTACAGCCTCCATTCTCTCCTTCTAAGCCTCCCACTGCCCTGGGCACCTCCCTCCTCTTGTCCCAGAACAAGAATCTTCCCAGATCAGGCCTCAGACTCCCCAAGTGTAAAATGGTATCCAAGTGCCTTTCCTCTGTGCTGTCTACAAATCCCAGGCCAGGGGCTTCCACAGCCTCTACGGGGTAGGGGCTGGGAGAGGGAGGAAAAGGGGGGTGTCCAGGGCTGTCAGCTCACAATCTTCGAGTGCCTTTGTCCGGGCAGCCTCCGGGCGAGAAGCGTGCTTGAGCCTCGGGCAGGGGCGAGGCGGGGCTGTGGGCGGGCCTATGGGCGGGGCCTTCCCCTCCCCTCGCCCCGCCCCGTCGGACGTAGCCGCGGAGCTCGCGCCGGGGAGGGGAGGAGCGCGCCTCCCGCGCGCCGCCTGGCCGGGCGGAAAGTTTTTCCTGACGGAGTTTTGGTGGCGGCGGCGGCGGCCGGAGCGGGCCATGGACGCCCTCAAGTCCGCGGGGCGGGCGCTGATCCGGAGCCCCAGCCTGGCCAAGCAGAGCTGGGGGAGCGGCGGCCGGCACCGCAGTGAGTGTGTGCGCGTCCGCCGGACCGGGCCGGGGTCGGGCCGAGGCGTCCTGGGCCTCCCGCGGGCTCCCGGAGTTTGGCCAAGTTCGGGGGAGGCTGGGCCTGACCCGCGCTCGTGGCACTGCGCGGCCGTTCCCCGGCCCTGCGGGGGCGGGGGTCGTGCGGGGTCAAGTTGTGCTCCCCTCCCCGCTCAGCTGGGAGGAGGGGCAGAGCTGGGGGAGGAGACAGGTCGGGGCGCCCAGGTGTGGGCGGCAGTGGGCCGGGTAGGAGGCAGTGCAGGTCTCGAGAAGAGACCAGCGCGACCCCGCCACCTCCTCACCCCTCCGCCCTGGGCAGCTAGGGGGAGGCGCGCCCTCGGCGTCAGTGCCAGGGGGTGGGGGAATGGGCGCAGGGGCTTGGGAAGATGCCCGGGAGCAGCGGCGGGCCCCCATCGCTCCTGTTCAGCCCATGGGGTCAACTTGTTTCTCCCGGGCGCCCAGAAACCCATTCAGGTGTGAGCCCGGGGTCGCAGGTACTTGAAGTTGGTGGGAGCGAAGGCCGGCCTAGTGTCTCAGGAGGTCCCAACACCGGACGATCTAGACCCTGCGACCCTTTCTCTAGACGGTTCCAGGTGGCCGACTGGCGTCCCAGCTATTTTTGAAACCTGTTTTCTCTCTCACCTTCCCCCTCGGGCTTCCAAAGTCCCTGAGCGCCCAGGGGAAGGGCAGACTCCCCGCCACCTCTCCCGGGGGCGTCTGGGAGGCTGGGAGGGGCCTCAACCGGCCCCCCTTCTCTCCCGGTCTCCGGTTATGCTCAGGAGACCTGTCACCTGGCACCTTCCTCTGAGGCCTCAAAAACCTAGCGCAGGTCCCTGCTTTGTGGAGAGGGGGAATGGAGTGGCTTGCCTGGAGTCACACTGCCATCCTGGCTGATCTGGAGCCAAAGCGCAGGACTCCTGCACATTCCCACCCACCACAACCACAGGCCTCGCCCGACACCAGGAAACTGACAGCACAGTCTCCCCGCAGCCTCTTTCCCTCTTCGCCTTCCAGGGCTCCACCAGGGGAGCCCGAGTTCCCTGGTCCCAGGAGTGCCAGCGTGTCTGGGCCTAGGGCGCCTGCCTTGCCCCTCCTCTGGCCCCACTCCCTCTTCCAGCTGTGGCCGCCACTTAGCTGAGGCTGGCATTGGCATTGGGAACATGCGCCGGTGCCTGCTGGTGGGGGCAGGATCAGAGACCCATTTGGGCTGGCCAGGCCAGGAATGTACCATCTATCACACTTGTTGCCTCCCAAAATAGCCCCTTTAAAAATTTGTGAGATTTGACAAGGACTTAGAATGACTTGTTCCAGTGGGACAACCCTGCGGTTTTCTCCAGGGATGTGGGAGAGGGGGTGGTGGGCAGCCCCCAGGGAAGTGGTTGTGGAGGGAGGTGGGGCTGGGCAAGGGAAGGGAGCCTTGAAGCCCCTCTGAATCTGGGAAGGGGAGGAGGTAGCCACTTTGGGTGGTGGAAAAGAGTTTCTCTTGCCTTCTTCAATCTGGGGCAAGTCACATGTCCTCTCTGTGATCCTCAGTTTCCTCATCTGCAACAGGGGGATAAAAGCCCTTACCTGGCAGGGGTATTGAGATTATTGATAATAATGCTTCCTCCTAATTGGTGATTTCCTTCTTCCCGCTCTCCTGCCTCCTGCCTATCCTCTGGACCTTCAACATGATTATTACGATGGTGAAACAGGTTTTGGGGGCTCAGAGCCTGTCTGCACCTTCAGAGGAAAGGAGTAGAGACCCTCTTCCCAGCCCCCGCCCCCTGTAAGGCCAGAGGGAGGTCCTGGAGCCTTCAGTGCCTGTGATGAGCTGGGTCACAGCCCCACCTGTCTCCTGTTAAGTCTCACTTTCCTCATCTGTAAATTACAAATAACCGTAGTACCTGCCTCAGACTTTTTGTGATATTAAATGAAATCGCATCTTGCCTGGCATAGAAGAAGAGCCCAATAAATTGTGACTACTGCTTTTGTCACTGTTTTAAAGTGTTTTAGCTTCCATTATCTCATTTGCTCCTGTGAGGTGACTGAGGATTCTTATTAATCAGACCCATTTTAGAGATAGAAGAACTGAGGCCCAGGGAAGTGGAGTCACTGGCCCCAGACACAGAGCTTCCCAGAGGTAGAGCTCCAAATTCCCCACCCAGGGGGTTTATCAACATGCCTCAGGCACTCTGGCCATGGCCAGCGCTGGGGGCAGGCCCCACCCCAGGCTGGGCTGCAGGTTGAGCTGCGCTTTCTAACTTGCAAGTGAGAAAGGGAAGCTGTGTGGTATGTCAGGGTGGCAGGTGTTGGGGCAGCCTCGACCAGGGTTGTGACCCAGCGAGGCATTGGGCCTAGCCCCTGTGGTTGAGTTTTGAGGCCAAACTGAAGCCAGTGGAGTTAAGGTTAGACTTGACCCCTGTTGTCAACTATCACCTGCTCCTCACCACCGCCCCCACCCGAGGTCCTCAGCTGGGATTGGCATGAATATTGTTTTATTTGTGGAGAAACTGAAGCCCAGAGAAGGGCGGCAGCTTGCCTGAGGTCACACAGCAAAGCCAGCGCCCAGGCTTCCTTACACTGAGCCTCAGGCCTCCTATCTCCCAGTTGTCCTGACCTTCAAAGAGGGCTCTCCCCTTCTCCCACATGTGGCTTTTTTCCCATCCCTTCAGGAACCATAAATATTTGATCTCAGTCCCTGGCCAGGGATTTTCCTATCTTCCAGCTACCTGGAAGAGTTGCTCATCTTGGCCCTTCCGTGCCTTTTTTCCGAAGGTACTAGGATCACTCTGACCCTCAGGCTACTTCGTGAGTTGTGCAAACCTGTCAGAGAACCCAAAGAGAAGGGGTGAAGAAATATGAGGTGCAGGTTCCAGTAAAGGTGGTTCGTGGTGGTAGGCGAGGGAGATCTATTCCTATTTATTTGCAATATTTATAATGAAAGATATTATAAGTAACCCCCGAACAGTAATGTTTATTGAGCGCTGACTGCACGTCAGGCACAGATGGAGGCGTTGGGGAATCTGTGGTGACCAAGTCTCTCCTCTGATGGTTCTTCCCGTCTGGTGGAGGAGGCGGATAGAATGACAAGGACGCAGATAAGCAGTGTGGTTGTGGATAGTGTAATGCTACGAATAAAAATAAAGCGGGGTGAGGAAGTGATGGGGGCAGCTTTTTTAGATAGGGTGGTGTTTTTGTGTTCTTCTAGAGACAAGGATCTGAGTGCACGTCATTTATTTGGGAAGAGATGGCAGGAAATATTTTGTTAGGACATGTGAGAAGGGAAGGGAGTCCCAAAAGTGGCCATTATAAAGCACGCTACCACTGTAGGCTGCCGGGAGCTCTGGGAGGCAGTGTGGAATGTGCTCCTCGGAGGTGTCCCCCCCACAGCCTTGTGGGAGGACTGCTGGGACAGGAGATCTGAGTTCCCCAGTCAGCACAGGCCTGGGCATCTCCAGCAGGGAGGCCAGAGTGGTGGGTGCTGGCATCAGGTGGCGTGCAGGGAAATGGTACACACAGAGGGGACAAGGGTAGGGTACTGACAGCCTCTGGGAAGGCCTCTCTGAGAAGGTGACTTGGAATACTCAGTGGATCCTAGGAGGGAGGAATCTGGGAAGAATATTCTAGCCAGAGGGAACAGCAAGTGCAGGCAACATTTACCTAGAGCCTGGAGCTCTGCCTCTCACAGGTCAGATGGCTGCGGGAGGGGCATGTGGCTTGAAGGAGTTAAAGGTCACCCGCTGCCCAATGAGGGTCAGACTCCCTGTTTTGAGCAGCCTAGCTCCGTTCTGCCTGACCCTGCCTTGCGTTGGAAGGGGTGGGGGGGGGCTGCAGGACTGGGTGTAGGACTGGAGTCCCAATACTGTCAATTATGGGCCATGGTCAGACTCCTCTGAGCTTCTTCATCTGTGAAATGGGAACATTGATATATCCGTGACTCTTATAAAATATGTAAATGGCTGTGGACACGTTAAAGCTTTTTACACTTGACCATTGGTAATTGACAGTAGCTCACACCCAGGTGGTACTTGGTATATACCAGATAAGGTTCTAAGCCCACCACAGGTGTGAACTCATTTCAGCCTCGTGACAACCCCATGGGGTCCCTATTTTAAAGTGAGGAAACTGAGGCTTGGGAAAGTCTGTGAACCCCACAGCCCGGCTCCAGAGCCCATAGCTTATTTGTCTCTTACAGTAAAACTGTGTACTTAGGAAGTAGTAGCTGCTGCAATTATCATTTTAAAAATTATTTTCTTTTGATAGCAGTCTCAACAGGCTTAACTCCTGAAATTTGCCTAGCACTTTGCACATCTGGAAGCTTTTTCTGAATTGCTCCTGAGGGGCTGAACCCATTTGTCAGATCAAGAGTCTGCAACCCAGAGGAGCAGCCACACTCCAGGTCAGGGCAGAGCTTGGGGCCCCTTCTGAGATGTCGTTACTCTGTGGCTTCTGAGGCCATCTCCCTCCCCGCCAGCCTGGAGGAGGCTGGAGGCCAGGGTCCTGGTCAGAGGGTTCCGCCACCCGTGGGTTTGGCTGTGGCTCCAGTGTTCCAGACACCAGCCAGGCTGGGTCTCCCAGGGCAGCAGAAGGGGCACAAGGGCACCCTGCCCAGCTCTGACTCTGGGTAGGGGGCCTTAACGAGGAAAGAGCACATGTTCACAGCTGTACATTAGCTGGGCATATGGTCTGTCCTCAGCTAACTCTGGCACCAGGTCATCTGTAAAATTGCAACGTTAAAATAGCACAGTCATTACCCACCACAGGGCCAAAAATAACCAGGACCAGAACTGGGCTGCGGACTCAGGCCTGTATTTGCCCGGGGGCCTCTGGGAGCTCCTCCTGAAGCCTTGGGCTCCTCCTGGGAGGAAGCACGTGGCCTCCAGCCTTGGGGCTGGTGCACAGCCCTGCCGCCTCCCATCTGAGAGGCTGGGTGATGAGCCAGGTGGGCGTGGCGGTAAACCCTGCATGTCTGTCTGTGTTGAGAGCTCCCAGGTGCTGGTTTCTGTGGGGAGGGTGTGGGCACAAGAGACCTAACACCTCGACGAAGAGAGGAGTCACATGCACGGAAGTACAGGAGAGGGGGCAGCGTTCACTAGAGGAAAAGAAGCATCTCGGCTGGGCCTGGGAAGGTGGGGTGAGAGGGATGGGGGACGAGGGAGGAAGAGGACGAGACTGGACAGCTACATTGGGCAGGAGTGCACAGCGGGTCCTGGGAGGCAAACGTGAATGGCATGTCCTTGGAGGGGAGACGTGTGTGTAGACAGCTGCTTGGCCGAGGGTGGAGGGTGGTGTGTCTGCGGGAGGAAGAGAAGGCACGGGCAACCCACTGACGGGAGGGATGAGGCCCCGTCAGAAGGCGTACCGGGCACCTGCCATGGGCCTGGCCCTCTGCTAAGTGCATTTTATTACATCATTTATCATCTTATCCAAGGGTCACAACAGCCCTATGAGGCAGGGACTGTTGTTTCCCAGAAAACTAAGGCTCAGGGTAGGTAGTTATCTCAATCAAGATCACTCGGACATGAAACACCAGAACGGGTATTCCAGGATTAGGGCCCTTGCTCTTAGCCACTAGGCTATGTTGCCTTAAAGAAGGCTTCTTGGAAGAGGCTGCGTGTGTGGATGTTTTGATCAAGCAAAGGGAACAAGGGCAATTCGGATAGAGGGAACTACTTGAACAAAGGCACAGAAGTTGGAAAGTGAACGTTACATTATAAGGAAGAAGCTCTGCATGGTTGGAGCTTCTGGGGTGTGTGTATATGGGGATATTGTGGGAGAGGAGACAGGGGGAACTTAAAATTCCCCCACCTGTCATGGTGGGGATTGCCTGTGGTGGACTGGGGGTGGGAGTGGGGGTCCCTTGGACTTGCTGTGTGGCCCTGCACGGGGCCCATCCCTATCTGGGCCTCAGCTGCATCATCTGTCAAGTGAGAGATTTGGGCAGAAGGTCTCTGAGGCTGATGAGTGGCAACCAGTCTATAAGGAGGTGGTTGGGTAGGGAACGGTCAGGCCAGGGAAGGAGAAATGCAGAAAAATGCTAAATATTTCAGAGGTCAAAGAGGACCAGGGAATGTTTTGACAGCAAAGAGATCACTAGTGACCTTGGCAGGCTTTGGCCCTTTTGGAATGAATGGAGGGAGCGGAAGTGGCTTTGGAAAGGGGCCAGGAAAAGGCTGAACAGGAGGAAATGGGAGAGTGGGGACGTGAAAATTGGGGGGAAGAAGAATGCTGGAGGGCAGGAATAGTTGATGAGATGAACAAGGCCACCCTTGATTGATTGGTATTGCCTGCCTGGGGCCTTGTGCTGAGAAACAATCAGAGGGAAATAGAGCTGCCGTAGATTAGCAATGTCTGCCAACGACACAGGTGGTGGTAGGCACAACAGCATTTTTTGACCATCCCTGCTTAGATAGGTCTAGGTTGAAAGTGGTGGTCTGGGTATCTTGGCCTGTAGAGGGGAAGCCTCCAGTGTTAGGAATACCTAATCCTAGGTGGGAGGAAATACTTAGAGCTCCAAAAACCTCTCCCTGACCTTTTGCTAGACTTAAGGCAATTTGCCTCCTGATGAGGTAGTATGGTCTAGTATGGTCTAATGGTCAGGAGTGTGGGCTTTAGAGTCAGTCCTTTGAACTCAGTGTCCTCATCTATAAATTGGGAATGCAAGAATGCCTGCTTGCAAGGTAGCTGTGAGTGTTAGAGGTAATGGTGATAGCTACAGCTTTATTATTATTGTGTCTTCATTATATGATAGCTCTGTTAGCCTTTTTTTTTTTTTGAGACAGGGTCTTGCTGTGTTGCCCAGGCTACAGTGCAGTGGTGTCATCGTAGCTCACTGCAATCTCAAACTCCCGGACTCAAGGGATCCTCCTCCTCAGACTCCTGAGTAGCTAGGACTGCCAGTGCATGCCATCATGCCCAGCTAATTTTTCTTAGTCTTTGTAGAGATGGGGTCTCACTATGTTGCTCAGGCTGTTCTCAAACTCTTGGCCTCAAGCGATCCTCCCGCCTCGGCCTCCCAAAGTACTAGGATTACAGGCATGAACCACTGCACCCAGCCTGTTACTCTCGGTTTCTTTGCGAGCAGGGCCTATGTCTGAGTCGCTCCAGGGCCCCCATCACCCAGCCCAGGATCAGGGACTACTCAAGGGCTTTCTGACTCTTTTTGGAGGATCAAATGGAATAGGCTTATGGTTGATGGGACAGAGGGTGGGGTCACATCAGAGGGGGCCTGGCCTCATGTTGGCATAGAGGCCCCGGGATGAGGGCTGGTGGGCAGTGAGCCGGAAGTCAGAGCTAGTAATGGAGTTATCCACGTCATTCCCCCACTTAGCAGATATTGAGTGCCAGCTGCATGCCAGGCTTTGGATGACCGATAAACAAGTTCTTGTTCACCTGGGTCTCGGTGGTGGTGGGAACTGGGTACACCTGTGAGTTCCTGTGTGCCTCTCCCACCCCTAACACTCACTCTTTCAGAGGAGGAAACAGCCTCAGAGAGGGACAGTGGCTTGCTCAAGGCAAACCCAGAGAAGGCTCTGGGTTACAAGTCTCTTTCTGGCTGTAGAGCAGGGAGACAGAGGCCCTGGAAGCCTAGGGCTATAGGACCGGAGCTAGGAGGGGCAGCTGGGGTCCAGTCTGGGTAGGAGACCTGATGTGCCACCTGGGCCTGGGTTTCTGCCTCTGACAGTGCAGGAACCCTGGAGCCAGGTTGAATCTTGTAGGGGGAGCCCACAACTCTGCCAGGGCCTCAGCAGCCCCAAGCAATACCCATTTCTACACTTTCTTCCTGTGGCTTTCCCATCAGAGCCAGTGAGGAGGCACAACACTTCCCTACAACAGCCCCTCTCCCAGTAATGGTCTAGGCAAGCTGGCCCTGGCCACCTCTCTGGTGGCCCCTGGAAACTGATTCCTGTCTGGGTCTTGTCCTATCCTTAACAAGATTGTGCATGAGGCTGAAGAGCAGCTTCTCATCTGTAACATGGGTACAGTGATAATAAAGACCTCCTGCAAATGCAGCGTCTGAGCGGGTGGTAACGAGCGGGCAGAGGCTCTGGAAGGCAGGAGCGTGGGGTGCTCATTCCTCCTAGTTACAGGGGCTTGAAGGACTCCCCAGAGACCTCCCTCCCTGTCCTGGCCGCATTGCTTCCTGGGTGAGTGATACGGGCTTCTGGGCCTTAGCTCCTGAGGAGGAGCCCTGGGGATGGTCAAAGCCACTGATGAAGACGTACTTTCATGACCCTCTGCCTCCTTGAGGCCCTCTCCTACGTGGTGGGCCAGGTGGGGACCTCTTTCCAACTCTCCCTCTGGTCTGTTTCCCCACCCAGTGACCCAGGCTCATCCCCTCATTTCCCAACCTTCCTGACGTTTGCGGTCAGTTTTTAGAGGACCCCTCCCAAGTACCCTGCTCTGTGTCGTTGCTGCAGCCCAGAGAGACAGGTATGGTTAGTCTCAGAGGAGAGACGACTTCCCTGAGACCATGCAGGGAGTGGGAAGCAGAGCTGGGATTCGAACCCAGGTCTGCCAGATTTTTGTGACGCGATTTGAGAAGTCACCTTCTCCTTTTCCCACTGACCTCATCCCACCCCCACCCTCCTTGGGCTACTGTCTTTTGGCCGGTCCCCCCGCCTCCATCCACTGGTCTCTATGGATGCGCACACAGGAAAAGTGGTGCTGGGCGGGGCCATGGGAACCATCCAGATTTGAATTCTGACCTTTACTCATTGCGTGTGGCCTTCGTCTCATGAATTCGATTTCTGAACCTCAGTTTCCTAATCCGTATAATGGGGACGATAACCACCTCACAGGATTGCGCGAAGGATTCAGTAAGAAATGGTATGATTTGCCTCAGCAAGTGTTAGTGTTGAAGTTAAGAGTCTGGGCTCTGGCCTTGAAGATGTGGCTCGAGTCTTGGCTCCTGCAGGTACTGGCTCTGTGGACTTGGGTGTGTGATTCAGCCTCCCTGGGCCTCAGTGTCTTTGTCTGTCAGAGGGTATGATAGAAGTGTCTACCTCACAGGTTCTCGTGAGGATTAATGAGAACGTTTTACATAATGCTTCTTACTATGGTGCTTGGTATGCAGTGGAAAATGTTGGCCCTTGATTAAAAGCAAAAATAATGGGGGGGGCCCCCAGTGCCCCTTGCTGGATTTTCCTAGGAAATGGGGGCAGGTGAGCGCTGTGGCTGGTGGTGGGCCCTGCCCTGCAGGGTCTGAGGGCCTGTCCTGTCCTGCCCCAGAGCTGCCTGAGAACTGGACGGACACTCGGGAGACTCTGCTCGAGGGGATGCTCTTCACCCTCAAGTACCTGGGCATGACGCTGGTGGAGCAGCCCAAGGGCGAGGAGCTGTCGGCCGCTGCTGTCAAGAGGATCGTGGCCACGGTGAGCCCCCCAGCTAGCAGGGGTCAGGGGAGCCGTGAGCCAAAGGCCAGCTTCTCTCGGGTGTTATCCCGGCCCGTTACTTCGATTGGATGCACCTGAGCCTGGCCTGGTCTTGTGTCGCCTCGCATCCGGCTCAGGGGCTTCGTGGAGGGGAGCCGTTGGACTCACAGGGTTGTGGTCAGTGGCTTCCCTCCAGCCACGAGGGCCGTGGCCTCTTCCAGCCTCCGCTTCGCCAGCTCAGGATCCTGGATGGTGACTTATCAGTGGTAGGGCGGGTGGGGAGGTAGCTGTCACTCAACCACTTGCCCAGTGGCCTGAGAGACGGCACAGCCCTCCAGAGAGCAGATTGCCCCTCCTGAGCGCCAGGTGCGTGTGGGCCTTTTAAATTCACTTCCCTTGGTGGCCTTGGACCCCTCAGCTCAGGCCCTGGCAGGTGCAGTGGATGGAACAAAGTCCCTAGGAGTCATCTAGTTGGGCTGTGATAGGCCACTCAGTGCTGAGAGTCTCAGGTCCCTCTTGGCTGTGTGTCCTTGGGCAAGTCTCTTAGCCTCTCTGAGTCTGTCTGTCTCCTGCGGAGAAGGTGGATGAGCGTTCATCCTCCTGCCTGTGAGCATGACTTGAAGTCCAGTGCTTGAAAGACAGCGGGTGTTTTTATTACAAGAGGGTGCCGGCCAGTCACCTGGGCTGAGATGGGCGGCCCTGTACCTGAGACCAAGGAGCAGCTAGGTGTAGCCCATGAGGGAGGGTCCCAACTGAGGTAGGCAGGCTCCTCTAACCCATGTCTGCCCCCAAGGCTAAGGCCAGCGGGAAGAAGCTGCAGAAGGTGACTCTCAAGGTGTCGCCGCGGGGAATTATCCTGACTGACCACCTTACCAACCAGCTCATTGAGAACGTGTCCATTTACAGGTACGCTCAGCGTGGGGGGTGGCCCACATCCACTCTGCCACTTGGGGCAGTGGTTGGAGTGTCCTGTCTGAATCCAGGCTCTACGACTTCCTGCCTGGGTGACCGCGGAGCTGCAGTTTCCTCATCTGTAAAATGGGGCTGGGAGCAGACCCTTCCTCGCAGTGCTGTCGTGAAGCACTGAGCGCAGAGCACGCGGCTCACAACGGGCACTTGGTTAAGTGGCAGCTGCTGCTGTTATCACCAGGTGTAGAAGACAGCTGAACACTCGGCTGCTGAGTCAGGCCGGGAGCAGAGAGCGGCAGCTGCAGAGTCACTGCCTTTTCCTTCCACCGTGAACGCAGCAGCTCAGCTCTGGACTTCTGGCCAGGCGTCCCAGGGAGACAGGGCCCAGCCCTTGCAGCCTCAGGCTGTCCCACCTCTCTCTTGCCTGGTCAGTTGTAAGATTTCAGAACTGGAAGAGACAGCCCAGGTCCATTTTACAGATGGAGAAGCTGAGGCCCAGAGAGGGAGTTGCCTAAGGCTTCATGGGGAGATACTGGCTGAACTGGGACCAGGACACCCAGGCTGGAGCTCTGTCCAACAGGTCCCCATCTGCCAGGCATCCCTCCACCCTCTTGCTTTGTCTCCGGGCAGGTGGCTCAGCCAGCTGAAGCACAAGCCAGGAGTAGGGATGGGTAGATGTATAGTGAGGCGGGTGGTTTTGGAGTTTTGAGCTGATATCTTCTTACCTTTCTGAGTCTACCTGTCTTCCTTTAATCAACATTTTCCAAGTACCTATTCTGCTGAGGTCTGTGCCAGATGTGCCCTCAAGGAGCTTCCAGTCTAGCAGGGAATGGAGGGGAGGAAATAGCAGATAGAGTGTAGTGTTGCCCAAGAGGGCAGAGAAGGAGGGGTCTGCCTGGGGAAATCTGGGAAGGCTTACCAGGGGAGGTGGCACCTTGCTGGGGCTTGAAGAATAGCGGGATCTAGTTGCTATTAATAGATACGAAGGACCCAGGGGGCTTTAGAGCAGGAGGCTGGGCCCCTGGGTTGGAGAAGAGGCAGCCGGGGACCTGGTGCCCCCACCCTCTGCTTACCTGGGGGTTTTACGTGGTGTTGAGGCCTGTGATTGAAGCCGGGGCCGCACAGGTGAGAGGGCGAGTCTGCTGGGCTCCTGCTGCAGCTCTGGGCTGCCAGCTCCTCCTGACTGAGATTCCGAGGATGGTTGGCGGCAACGGGGAGGGATCAGGCAGTGAGAGAGGGTGGGACAGCTGAGGGCTGGGGCATGGAGGTCGTGGGTGGCGATTGGGGGCGGGGAGGGTTCCATGTATGGAGCTGCTGTGTCTTCCCTCCCAGGCCCACTGGGGCTCCTTGTTGGGTCCCCTCGCACCCCCCACCCCTACTCCCAGCTCCTCCACCCCTGGCCACGGCTGCAGGAAACTTGCTAATGGTCCCAGTCACCCTGAGAGATAGAGGCCTGAATCTCTTCTGACCTCTGGGCAGGGGCATGGATTGGAGGGTGGGTGGAACGGGGAGGCCAGGTAAAGGGCATGGGGGGCAGGGCAGTATCCTGCCTCCCCTCCCGCCTGTCCGCACAAAGCGTTAAGAGGTGGCATGGCATTGATGGCCTCTGGAGTCTCACAGGTGAGTTCAAGTCTTACCTCTGCTACTAGCTCTGTGGTCTCAGGCCTTTAGCCTCAGTTTTCTCATCTAAAAAATGGGGATAATAATAGAACCCATCTCAGGGGCAGCTGTGAGAATTCAATGAGGCAATATCTAGAAAGCTCTTGGCACATTGCCTGGTATGCGATAAGGGTTCAGCAGTTACTATTCTAGGGTGCGGCTCAGTGTGGGATGGGAGGGAGAGAGGGGGAGGTACCCTTCCTCCAGTCTATAACCCCAGTCCTTCCTGCCTGGCCTGGGTCCCTCCCTGATAGATGGCCCAGGGTGCCAGGCCTGGTGGCCAAGGCAGGATATCCCAAGTCTCGCCCTGGTGGAGTGGGGTTAAGCAGGCTCTCTGGAACTTGAAGAAGATGCCCTAAGGGGCATCCCAGATGGGTCAGGCCCCCGTCCCTGGTCTGGTGACGCTTCCTACTTGCCTTTCAGGATCTCCTACTGCACAGCAGACAAGATGCACGACAAGGTGTTTGCATACATCGCCCAGAGCCAGCACAATGAGAACCTTGAGTGCCACGCCTTCCTCTGCACCAAGCGGAAAATGGTCAGCCGGGAGGCTGGGCTGGGCTGGGGCAGGCCTTACCTTGGCAGCCCTACTCTTGGGGGTCTACCTGGTGCGGGAGGCAGGACCCAAAAATGACAGTCACCTGTAAGAAAAGGTGAAATTCCTGGGAATCCCAAGTAGGGGCTGGGAGCTGAGGGTACCTAATAGGGCTGCAGTCAGGCAGGTGACCCACAGGTCAGCCTGGCTGTGGGCAGTGACTAGCTCGTGTCCCCAGTGAGTGCCTGGTCCCTTCCTTTCTGTAACGCGATTTGTTGGGTTTGAGATTATCTTGGATCTCCTGTCATTAGTGCGGTCTGTGGGCTGCAGGGCCTTGTAGGGATTAGTCCTTGGACATGGACGTTGCGGGGGCGGAGGTGGGGAGGCCGGGATGGAAGGCAAGGGCGAGAGCTCTTGGAGGACCCGGCTTGCTGTAGGCAGAGTTGGGAGGGAAATGGCCATTTTTCGGTGCCTCCTACGTGCCCATTCCAGTGCTAGGCTTTAAGGTACTTTCTCGTTTAATCCTCACAACAGCTCTGCAAACCAGAAACTACTACTATCTCTGTTGGTTTTTTCCGTTTCATTTTTAATGAGAAAACAGACTCCCAGAGGCCAGCTGTCTCGCTGGAGATGACACAGCAGCCAGGGCAGAGTGAAGGTTTGAGCCCATGTTCCTTCCCCTCCGTGTGTGACTGAGGAGCTGAGAGCTCCTGTCCCATTTCCGGGCCACCCCTAGACCACATCTGCCTGGGGTGAGTGGGAACCTTAGTGGTCACTGGACATTTGCTTTGAGTTTTAGAGCCAAGAGCTGGAGTGGGTCAACCTTTGGTGTTGCAGCTTTGTCTCTGATGTCCCCAGGATCTGAGTGTCCTCCCTGTAAGTTGGTTCCTGACACCTATTGATTTGGTATTGGCATCTGTTAACCTCTGTTGACAGCTCAGAGCCCTGTCCCCATGTCCTAGGGCTCTTGGAGCCAAGGAGACATGACCTTCTCCCCTCCCCCATCATCAAAGGGCACATGAAGGACATTACAGTCTTTGTGGCCCCCAGGCTTCCTGCTGCCCATAGGGCACATGTTAGGTATTGTATATGTGTCCTATTACTGTTGTAAAAGCGACCACAAACTTAGTGGTTTAAAACAACATAAGTTTATTCCCTTGTAGTATTTTAGATTGGGGGTCTAAAATGGGCCAGCAGGATTGTGTTTTTCTGGAGGCTCTGGGGAGAATCCATGTCTACCTTCCAGAGCTCACTTGCATTCCTTGGTTTGTGGGCCCATCCTCCGTCTTCAGCGCCAGCACTGTGGCATCTCCCAGTCTCCCTCTCCCTTCCGTCACATTACTGTCTCTGACTCTCCTGCTCCCCGTCAAGGCCCCTCGTGATCACGCTTGGACTCACCGGGTAATCCAGGATAATCCCATCTCCAGATCCTTAGCTTAATCGCATCTGCAAAAGCCTTTTGCTGCATAAGGCAGCATTCACTGGTCCCAGGGATTGGGATGTGGACCTCCTGGGGGGCGTGATTCAGCCCCACACAGGTATCACAGGAAGGGCACTGCGGGAGGAGACAAACTGAGGGTCTGATCCTGGCTGAGGATCTGTGTGACCTGGGCTAAGATCCCACTCTTCTCTGGACTGCTTGCCTGTCAGGATGAGGAGGTCGCCTCCGTGACTTCTAGGATCGCTCTGAAAGGCCCCAGTTGCTTTTGTACACCTTGTTTCTTTTCTGCAGACTCAGTGTCGCTGGCCACTCACCCGTGATGCCCCAGGGCCCTGAGCTGCTGTGGCGTCTCCCGTGACAGCCTTGTTCCCACAGACAGTGACTCTAGGCTTTGTCTTTTATTAGGCATCACAGACTTAAAAATACAAGCTCATCGTGTCCCCATTGTTCATCTCTTCCTCCCCACTGACCGGTGCAAGTGCCGGGCAGGGACAGCTGGCCCACAGCCATTGCTGCCGTGTGGGCCCTCGGTGGGAGGGGTGTTCCAAGAGACAGAGGCTCCCTCTGGGGTAGGGAGCCTGGGAGTAGGAGAAAGAGGGTGCTGGCCCAGGGTTCTAAGGCAGGCCTGACCTGGGGCCAGAGGACTTTAGACAGACTTGAACGACATCAGCCTGCCCCTTGGCCGAGAGGTTAGTTGCCAAGGAAAACAGAGCCGGGCCACTGCTTGGCCCCTGACAGCAGAGCCCTGATCGGGCAGCGGGAAGGGCTCCTGCTAGATACCCAAACTCTTCATTATCCTTCTCTTCCACCCTTTGCCATCTGGGCTCCCCGCTTCAGACAGCCCTGGGGAGCCCTCTCCAAGAGACAGCCCAGCCCAGCGTGGTATGAATACATCACCTGATGCTCCACGGCCTTACTTAGCTCAGCCCAAGCTGGCAGTGTGTTGATGGCCTCGTGGCCTGGCCGTGTTTGGAAATCCTAGATTCTCGGGGCTTAGTGGAAGTGTTCTCGGGGGAGGCAGAAGATGAAATGGGTGCCGTGGGCTCTGCACCTGCTGGCAGCTACCTCCACAGAGGTTTGGTGCTGCCCATCTCGGCCTAAGCCCTGTATTGAGCCCTGGGGACCCAGGGGATTGGCTGTGGGGATACGTACAAGTCAGTAGAGAAGAGCCCTGTTTCCTAACAGGAACACAGGGGCTTGGTGCTAGCGGGGAGGCTAGTAAATCTCAGTGGAGGTCAGCAAGACTTCCCAGAGGCAGAGACGTCTCGAGTGGGTCTTTGAAGGCTGAGTCATGAGTAGGAGTTTGCCAGACTGAGAGTTTGCCAGGTGAGAGGTGAGTGCATGCCAGCACGGGCACAGGGACAAAATGAAATGCTACCACTGGGGGTTGGGGACTCAGATATCACTGGCATGGGGGATGGGTGTCAAGGCAGAGTCAGCCTGCAGGGGCCTTGAATTGGGATGTTGATGGCCAGGGGCCTAGAGCCTCCACGTCCCCACTCTTTCTTGCTGGGCCACCTGAGTGAGCAAGAAGCCTATGACTCACCCAGGGTTGGGGGAGCAGGAGCTCCTTTCTGGGTCACCCACCAGGTCAGCTCAGCCCTGGGGCAGTGCAGCCACCCAGGCCTCCCTTCCCTGGTCTTGTGGGCATGGCCAGGGTAAGGTTCTCTATAAAGAAACGTTTCCATCTGCCCAACCAGGAGGCCTCTGGGCTCTGAAGTGAAGGTGAGAGCCCAGGTTTGCAGTGCAGGTGCTGGGCCTGGACTGACTGTGGCAAAGTGACACCCCCAGGTCTTCCCAGGGCAGAGTGAGCCACGCTGTTCTCCTCACATGGCGTTGGCATTCCTGGAGTAATCCTTGTACCAGGATTTATACTTCTAGGGTAGCAGGGCTGCCAGGAGGCACATGGCCTGGCTTGGTCTGAGTTCCTGGCCCCCTTATAACAGCCTGGTTACAAGGAACAAGATAGGGACACTAAAGACTGGGTGATGTAGAACCTGGTCAGGGTAGTAAGGTAGACCCAGAGGCCAGAGACACCTGGAGGAGAGGTGGGAGGCTGGGGAGTTGAGGAAGGAGCTTCTCAGCAGGCAGGCCCAAGCGGTCCCTCTGTGTAATGCTGGTGTCGGTCCCTGCAGCCGCCCCAGGAAGCAGGACCACCCCCTGCCAGTCTCTGCCAGCCTGGGCCTGCACACATCGGCATGTTGGGTTCTGTTTGGTTTAACTTACAGCCTGGGACTTCAGGGCAAAAGGGTGGGAATGGATGCAAATGAATAAGCAGATTTATGCAAAAACAGCATAAGCTTGTGTGCCCCAATTTCCTATAGGCACAAATAATGGTGTTCCCATATCCCTGCCACATTGGGTGACCAGCCCTTTCTTTGGTATATAGTGATCTGACTCGGGCTGGTAATTAGCCCATATTTTTAGTTCATGGGCAATTCTCAATGGTAACTGGTCTATTAAACTTGATTCAGACGTGACAGCTTAAATTGTAAACAGCTGTGAAGAGTTTCATACTTAATTACCATATTTAAGTTTTGCCATAAAGTGCCTGTACTTCCATCAAAAATGTAAATGACAGAGACATTCAAATGAGATTTTATACTTCGTGAAGTTTAATTGGCACAGATCCGTCAGCTTGTTTAGGAATTTTAAATATTTTTTAAAAAGAGTTTTAAAGGCAGTGACCACGGATTCATTTCTCAATTAAATTGAGTTGTCTGGTGGAGGGAAGGGAGTGGGGCTGAGGCTGGTTAGGCCTGAACTTGTTGTGCACTTGAAAGAGGCTGATGCTTTCTTCTCTGGGCCAGGGCTTTCAAAGGAAACTAGGTATTGTTTCCGGAGACAGCTACGAAGAAGCTGAGCTCGTTAACCCTCAACTCGATCACCGAGAGGAGATGTGGAGATGAATGTGGGCTGGGGATGGGTCCCAGCTGGAATGAGGCCACAGGAGGCCCGTCCCTTGGACAGATGCAGTTCACCCAGCATGGTGCCACCTCTGGGAGGCTGTGGCCTGCTCCGGGAGGCAGGGGTGTTCAGACTGATTCTTGCTTTTTGTGGGGGACACAGGCATGTGAGCTAGTGATGCTTTCATATGCATGATGCCAGAGGGAGGTGGGTAGGGCTGGAGGATCCCAGGGCTGGAGACAGGACAGAGGTGGTGACATCTGAGTTGGGATTGAAGGGGTGGATGGGAGGTCCACAGGGTTGAAAGGCTAAGGTGTGACCATTCCTTGCAGGTGGGCTATGGCACTGAATGGTCCCCAGGCACTCATTGACATCTTGCTCCTGCCAGGAAATTGATAAGCCTCCTACTCCCATTTTGGGATCCAGTTATAAACCCCTCTAACCAGCATAGTCCTAACCAGAGCCTGCCCTTTACCTCTCTGGCCATGGTGCATTCAGGCAATGGCTGGGCCCTTCCAACTCCATCTTTTCTGTTCTCCAATTCCAAGGGCTAAGTTAGTGTATGAAGTCCTCAGGTAATTAGGGAGGACTTCTTGGAGGAAGTAAACCTCATGGTTCATTGAATTTAGGGAAGCCCAAAGGGGAAGGGAAAAAAGCGAAGGTGAATAGCCATTGCAAAGGTGGGGCCCTAGAACGAGAGTGAGAACTTTGGCAGGGCTAAAGGAAGTGGTGAAGATAGGGCCCCCTGCCTCGGTGAGGGTGTGGGCTCATTACACCCCTGGCTGCTTTGGGGACCTGGAAGGGGCCAGGACCCTGCCTTTGCTCAGCAGGCATTCCAGGGCCTGGGATGGAGCCCAAAGAAGCTGCAGGGAGGGAGCCAGGGGGCCTGGCCTGGGGTCCCCAGCCCTCCAGTTCAGACTTGCTCTGCCCTGGCTGACACTGCACCCCTCCCCACCCCCACTTCCTGTTTTCAGGCGCAAGCTGTCACCCTCACTGTGGCCCAGGCCTTCAAAGTCGCTTTTGAGTTTTGGCAGGTATCCAAGGAAGGTGAGTCTTTTTCATCAACATTGTGGGTGGAGGGGGGAGGCAGATAAAGGCCTGGAGTCAGACCTGGACCAACTCTTGGCTTACTCACCTACCTGGCTCGAGACTTTGAACTGATTGCTTCACCTCTCTGAGTCTCAGTTTTCCCAGGTGAAAAATGGGAACAGCTGTCTTCCTCTCCCCGGATGCTTGTGAGGATTAAATGACATCTGCAGGGTTTCTTTTCTCCTTGCTGGAGACTTGAAACTACCACCTGAGATTGGCCACAGCCTGCCCAGTGATTGCGGGGACAGAGTGCTGGGCTCTGAGGCTCCAACGTGCTGTGCCTTGGTCCCACAGAGAAAGAGAAGAGGGAGAAAGCCGGCCAAGAGGGAGGGGATGTCCCAGGGGCCCGCCATGACAGCACCCCCTCGTTGAAGAGCCGTGAGTCTTGGGCAGGGGTTGGGGCCAGATTTAGCTGCACGGCATTGGGTCTGCCCTTCACCCAGGGAGCTCCGCTCCTGCCTGGGCTGGGGACAACTCTTGTTTTTTTATTTTTGTTTTGTTAAATAAATAATATTCATTCATTCTAGATAAATTAGAAAATGTAGATAAAGGGGGAAATTACTTGTTTTGGTGCATATTCTTCCAGATATGTCCCTATGCAAATATATAAATATATATGTACATCCCTATATACATAAAATTCTGTTGTGTGTTCTCTTAAATAACTTAACAACTATTGTGAATATAAAAATTACAGTCTAAACCACCAGTGGGAGACAGGTTCTCACCCTGTGTGCAGCTGTCCAGCTGCAGGGAGGGCAGTGCCAGTGTAGGGCCCTGTGTGGTCTGGGCGATGGCCGTGTCCCAGGAGGGAGTCAGGACCAGGACAGCCCAGGAGGCTCCAGGATGGGGCCAGGAAGGACGAAGAGGCTCATCTCCCACTGACACACCTGACTGATCCCCTCATAGTGGTTGCCACTGGGAACCTGCTGGACTTGGAAGAGACGGCCAAGGCCCCACTGTCCACAGTCAGCGCTAACACCACTAACGTGGACGAGGTACCGCGGCCTCAAGCCTTGAGCAACAACAGTGTTGTCTGGGTGAGTGGGCATGGGGCCGGGGACCTATACAGGGATCCAGTGCTCCTTGGCCTGATCTCTGGACAAGCCTGTGGCTGCTCCAGGGCCAGGCACTGGCACCCCTGACTTTTGGGCCTCTGGGAGGACCAGACCCAGTCTAGCAGTGCCCAGGCCCGGGATAGGGGATGAACAATGTCCCCTTTGAACCTAGGGCTGCGTCCCCAACAGGCTCGACTTCCAGCACAGCTGTCTCCTCACAATGCCCAGCCTCTTGGCCTGAGCATGCATGGCTCTGCCCACTGCAGGACCAGCCAAAGGCACCCTTGTTCTTGGCGTGGCAGAGCTTGCTGCCGACACCCTCCCCCTCAGCCATCTGAATGAGGACCCAGAAACTCGAGCAGTCATCAGCTTGGCCCCTGACTCGCTCTGTGACTCAGGGCAAGCCCCCTGACCCCTCTGTCTCAGCTTTTTCATCCTCTCCATGAGGGCGATGGCCTCTGCCCACAGAATCTCTCAGAGGAACCTGAATATTTTTTTTTTTAATTTTTCATTTGGAAATAATTTCAGACAATGTTACAAAAATAGTGCAAAGAATTCCTATTCACCCTTCATCCAGATTCCCATCTTGCATAACCATGTAACCATGATTAAATCAGGAAATTAGCATTGAGACCACACTATTGTGTAATCCGTAGAATTTACTTGCATTTCTCCACTTGTCCCTCCAATGTTCTTTTTCTAGCCCAGGATCCATTGCAAAATGGCATGTTAACTTGTCATAGCTCTTTAATTTTTAAAAATGCGGAACATGGAGAGACTTGAAAAACTTGCAAGTCCCTCTGGCTGTTGGGGGCTCCCTGGGTGTCCCTCGAGCCTGTTCTGTGCAGTTTGGGAACCACCGTTGCCACCTGCCCATCCTCATGGGAGGCCCGTTGTTTTTCCACTGAGGTCGTGGGATTCCTGCCATTGGTTATCCCTCATGAGCTGGGAATTCTGGCTTGGCTTTTGGAAGTGGATGAAAGCAAGAAAACCTCCTTCCCCACCCTCTTCCTTTTGGAATTTGAAAACCATAGAAATCATCTGGTCCAGCCCCCTCATTTTATGGAAGGAAAAGCTGAGTTTCAAAGAGGAGCAGTGACTTGCCCAAGGTCTCATGGGCCAGTAGTGGCAGAGCAGGGAATTGAACCCGCCCACGTCTCCAGACTCCCTGGGACATTCCTTTTTCCTGCCCCACGTCCCCAGCTTTGGGTTCATGGGCTGAGATGCTGGTGGCAGCAGCCAGGCGGGAGGCCTGCCTGAGCCTGCTCCTCCAGGCACCCACCCTGTACTTGTGTCCTGAGTCTCCGTAGCTCACCCTGGGAGTAGCCCCGGCAGTGAGCCTGGGCCCCCCACTCAGTGTTCACTTCTCCTGCTTTATCTTCCCCAAGGAGCTGGATGACGGCCTGGACGAAGCGTTCTCCAGGTAACGTTAGCTGGTAACTTCCTGCTGGGGGTGGGGGGCCTTGCATGCATGGGCCGGCCCTGCCTGCCCTTCTCTCCTGGGGCCCTTTGCCATGTGTGAGAACATGAGCCACTCTGACTTCCTCCAGGGAAGAATCCCCATCCCTCTGTTTGAATACCTCCAGGGGCAGGGAGCTCACTCTCTGGGCTTGGGCAGGCCTATTAGAAAGCTCTGACTGGTGAGTCACAACTATTCCTGGTGGCTGCTCTGCCACAGTCTGAGCTGAACGAAGCAGCTCAGCTCAAGCAGATTTCCTCTTCCTACACCTGCTGTAGCCTCCACAAACAGGCTCTTCTGCAGGCTTTGTTCCCTCCAGAGTTGTGCGTTTTTGAAAAGGGGCAGGGAGAAGGCAAAGCTTAATTAAGCCCATGGAGTGTTACACAGAGGGGGACGTTGGGCAGGGTGAGAAGGTATTTTAGTAAAGCCTGAGGGTGGTGGCATTTCCCCATTTTCCTGTGCTGTCCCTGTAGCCATGGATACCTTCAACTTGGGGACATGCTACCGAGAAGGTCGCATCCGAGAGGCCTGGGCAGTTTGGGGTTCATTCGTTCTCCCTCAGGACCCTCCGCAGCCCCCTCCAGCCTACCCACTTCAGAGGCTTTTCTTGGGGTCATCTCATGTGAGAACAGAGTCAGGGGCCTCACTGTCTTGGCTCCCCAACCCACCGGAGCCTGGTGGAAACCCCTTGGTCCTGCCTGGGGCGGGGGCAGCATGTGTGGCCCCTCCATGGAGGCAGAGATGTTCTTTTCAGTGCCTTCCCTGCTTCTCTGGCTGACTACATCCCCCTTGTTTGAGGAAAATCTTCCATTTGCTTTTTCCAGATTATTCAAGTATCACGTACCCTTTATGAACAATTTTGAAAATCAGCAAAGCATTAAACAGAAAACAACACCATCCCATAATCCCATGGCCCAGACTTTTGGGCTTAATTCATGCTAATCTATACATATACATTATTTTGCATTGATCAACACATCATATTTGCATTTTGGGATCCTGATTTTTCATTTAACATCAATGTGTCAGAAGCTTCCCTCCAGGCTGTTAAAAGCTTCTCGTAAACACCTCTTTCATTTCTTCCATTGACTGCCTAACAATCACTTACGGACAGGGGCTGTCATTTACTTAACTCCCCCCTATTCTTTGGGACATTTAGGTTGTCTCCCTTTTCAAGTTTATTTTTTGGACAGCGCAGTGTTGAACACAGTCATGCTGGAGCCTCCTCGTGGCTGGACAGCCCCCCTGACAGCTCGCCCGCCCACGCCCTCCGCCGGCACTGCCCTTTCTCCTTCCTGGACACTTCCTGACAGCGCTGGGCGTGGTGTGGGTGCTCTGGCCTGTCTTGGGGGTGGGAACGCCCACTGCCTGCCTTACCGTTGTCTGAGCCATGTGACCCTGCAGGGCAGGCATTTTGGTCTGTGGCTCTGCCTCCCCTAGCACCTGGGACTTTCTTCCCAGGCCCTGTGTGCTGCCATTTCCCTCCCATGCCCTCTGGCGTCTGACCCTGGGGCTGGCCAGGCCAGACCGGCTCCGCAGGCCCTGCCAGCCCCGTGGCCAGTCTGGGCTCACACAGCTCTGCCTTCCAGGCTTGCCCAGTCTCGGACGAACCCTCAGGTCCTGGACACTGGGCTGACAGCGCAGGACATTCAGTATGCCCAGTGCCTCTCGCCTGTTGACTGGGACAAGCCTGACAGCGGCCTGGCAGAGCAGGATGACCTCTTCAGCTTCTGAGGACCCGGGCCCAGCAGGACACAGCCAGCCCTGACACGTGATGGACCAAAGCCATCTGCGGCGGGGGAGCCAGCCCCAGGACCCGCCGCCAGCCACCTCTCCGGGCCTGCGGCACCGTCAGCCTACAGATCAAAGCTGCAGCCAGTCAAGCAGGGGAAAGAGATTTTTTTTAATCCCTGCTATTTCTCTAAGAACTGAAAGATGCCTTGAATATTTATTCAGTGACTTCTGGTGTGTGCTCAGAAGCCAGTTTGCGTCAGGCACAGCACCGGCTGTGTGACGTGTGCAGTGCCGCATCCGGCTCCTGCTCTCTCTTCTCGAGCAAGCTCTGCTCTGGCTGTGGGTGTCAGGACAGTGACCAAAGCATTTCTTGTCCCTTCTCTCCAAGGACCCAATTTCCATGGAGGCATCCCTGCTCCTTACTGAAAGCAGTCAGATTCTGTCGTCGTTTGAGCACAGGAGGACACCCTCAGCCTTGGGAAGGGACTGTCCTCTCGCTCACCTTCCTCAGGGCCCAGTAGCCCGGCTGGAGCCCCTGGACCCTGAGGCTTTCAGAAATGGAGGGGCAGCTCCTGACCAAAGACCGCACACAGCTTGGCACTTTAAAGTACACAGCAGGTGTGGCCCCTGGGGGCTGCTCGATGGTGCTGCATTAATAGAGCTTTCTCTCTGCCCTTTCTTCGCAAGAAAGGGCCCAAAGTCCCTGTGGATAGTCCCTGCCAGTGCTGGGAACCAGTGTAACTGCCTGCCCACGATTCCCAGAGCCTGACTGCAACCGTGGGGATCCTCTCCGTGACTGCCCTCCGTCACGGTCCCCATCCCTACCTTCTCCCCTCCCGCAGGTCGTGCCCGCTCCTCTGTTTTGTCCGTGTGTCTGCGTATGAGTGTCTCTGAGCCCCACCCCTGTACTTCTGGGAGGGTGTGTGAAACCTAACACCTAGGTTCATTTAGAAATATTTTATGGCCGTTTTACAGATGAGGAAACTGAGGCCACAAGCATGGAGGGGGCAGAGTCAAGAGTAGAACCCAGATCTGATGCCAAAGCTGCTTTCTCTGCCTCCACCTCTCACAACTCACACCTCCTTTTTTTCTAGCTTTGTTGTCCTCCGAGGAACCAAAAAACCCCAGCTATTTTCTGACCAAAATGTGTTTCATAACAAACCATCTGGTGCCTTTCCACACAGAACTGGCATAAGCCTCCGTGCCCTGCTAGCTGTCTTGCTGTTGATTTCCATAAAAATGCAAGTGTTTGAAGTCTGCTAATTCAGAGGGTGAAACAAAATCAAACTCTGCAAGCATCGCGCTGTTCTCTTTCCTGACACTGTGACCGTGGTCGGGACACAGCAGCAGCAGCCTGTCTTTAGAATCTCTCTCCTTTCTCCTCTTACCCCGTGGGGCTCCTGGCGTCCCGAAGCCCAGCAAAGCTGCGAGCATCTTTTCCAGCCTGAGGTGCCTCCCAGTGGCCTGGCTTGGCGGAGCAAGTTTCTCAAGCCCCAGGACACACAGCATTTCTCAGACTCAGCTTACCTACTAAGCGTGTGAATCGGAGCACATTCGATGGGAGAGCCTGGGGGAGGGTGGGGTGGGATTGTCGGGTCTTCATCAGAATGTGAGGGTAACTCCTTTCCCCATCTGTGCAGCCCCCTTCTGCCCCAGGCCTCCTTGGTTTCAGCCTCTGCATTTGCCATAAGGCACCAGGTCGGGCATCACGCAGGCCGTCCTTGGCCCCCGGGGTGTTGGGGTCCCGAGAAGGACCGCTGTGTTCTGCAAAGGCCACACTGTAGCTTTTGTCTCGGTCTCTTGTCGAGCTGTCTGTGTGTTTCCTGTGCATCCGCAGATAGGTTTTGTTGTGCTTTACTCTGTGATGCTGTAAAGAAAGTTCTAATGAAAAAAGCTAATAAATGTTCTCTTTTTGGATATAAGCAGCACTTAGATGGAGTGGGCCGGTGGCCAAGAGTACAGCGTCCAGCGGCTCCTGCCCTTCAGTGGTGGGAGCAGCAGTGACCAGTCAGGCCGTGTGCCCAGATGCAGCACTGAGAGTGGGGGCGATGGCCTCAGGGGCCGCAGGTTGAAGGCCCAGCGGGCCCCCTTTTGACCAGCAGATGGGGGTGTGTGTGATGAGGTCACGTCTGGATGACTCATCAAGGCCACACCAGGGATCCAGCGTGTCTGCACGGAAGAGGGCTGTGAACGCCCTGCAGTGTGCATGAGACGGCGCGTGCACTCACTGGGCTTTTCCGTGGGGGGTGTGCTCCGTTTCCATCACATTCTCAAATACGGCCACGACGTTCGATTCACGTGAGCTGGGCCCGAGGCGCAGTACTGGGACGGCGTCTGGGGGGCCCGGGTGGACTCGAGATGTGTGGCTTCACTGTGATGGGGGACGGTGGGAAGTGTTTTGGTGAACTGGAGACAAGGTCTAGTTCTGGCTTTGCCACTTGTGGGGCTGTGACACTTGATCAGTCACCTCTTCCCTCAAGCCTTGGTTTTCCCATCTGTGAAAAGGGTACAAGAACCTCTGCTTTCTGTCTCCCTGGGTTTTGTGTGACCCAGAGGTGACGGCTATCACATTGTTGACAGTATACTCAGGCGGCCCAGAGGTTATCTTACAGCAAAAGGCAGTTGGGACCAAATACGTTTAAGAAAGTCAAAGTAAAATTGATAATAGCAACTCGTGTTAACTGAGCTCTTATTACACGCTAAGGGCCGTGCTGTGCTGTGCTCTGTCTCGTGGTAGCCTTGTTGCGCCCAAGTGGTATTAGCTCCTGGTGCTGCCAAGGGCACCGAGGCTCAGCGGGGAAGGCACCTGCACTCCAGTGCGTGGCGGGGCACAGCCCAGACTCAGACCCTCGCCCACCTGTCCCGGCCTCCCAGGAGCCCGTCTGGTTGTGCTGCCCGAGGCCTCCAGTTGATCTGCACGGGGACCTTCACAGAACGGCCGCTCTCTTCAGAGTCTTTCAGCCCCTCGGCTGCGGCTTGTGGGGTCTCCTTGGGCATTTGTCTCTTTATCCCTTTCAAACAGTGATATTTTAAGTGTCTGGAACCCAGAGGCAGAGCCCTCTGATGTCAGCCGTTGGGTGGACTCCCTGTGAATTCTGAGTGGATCACAGATGACTAAGAAATTCTCTCCTTTCTTCTTTCCCCCATAATCTGAAAAGACACCCAACAAGTTCATCTTTCGGTTTAAATTTGGCCAATGTCTTTAGTCTCCGGATGTTTCAAATTATGAATCCTGAACACCCGCCGTCTGTTCTTTCATGCGTAACGGATGAAGCCGGGAAGAACAAAGTCGCCTTTCAGATTCGATGTGACCTTCAGCTTCACTGGGTAGATGTTGGGGTCTTCTCTCCCAGGAGGAGATACCAACCCAATTAAATCTCTCCAAGGGCTTTTGGACAAGCCTGGAGAGGGCATCTGGGCAGATTCTGGGTCTGGGGTGCTGGCTTGGGGCCTGGTCTTCCCGCAGCCTTCCTCCACCATTCCCCATGTTCGGATTAGAACAGACGGCCTGTTTGTTTCTTAGACGTGCCCCTTGGCCCTGTTAGGTCCTTTACACCTAATGTCAGGGATATTAGTCCTCACAGCCATTTGTGAGGTAGGTGGTCCTTGTCCCATTCTCCAGATAAGGCAACGGACTGAGGGCAGGGAAGATGAGCAGGTTGACCAAAGTCTCTCATCCAGTAAGAGGAGAACCTGGGATTCGAACCCCAGTCTGTCTGATTCCAGAGTGTGTTCCGTGTAGAGCAAAGGGCAAACCGCAGCTGAGCTGCCCATACCCTTCCTTCCCTTGCCAGCAGCCCAGCTACCACAGAACATGCTGGCCAGCAGGTGCCTCCACGGGTGGGGCGGCAGGCAGGGGCTGACGACATAGACTGGCCACAGCAGATCCCACCTCTTCCCAGGTGGCTGCTCTGTAACTGCCCAGTTTAGGCCTCAGCAGGGCCGTGTCTCAGCACATCGGGTGCCCATCTTGCCCCCAGCAGCATGGCCCAGCCTGCCAGTGGGGCCCAGAGTGAGCCTTGGTGTTCCTCAGAGGAGAAAGGCCTCCTCTGGGGGGTGAATGCCAGCCTTGGAGAGGGCAGGAAGGAGGAAAACGTCTCTGGAGGAATGGTGGCGTGTATACACACTAGCGCTAGTTTAATCTGCTGCACTGTGACTGTGCTGGTGTTACTAGCCCATTTTAGAGACGGTGACTCTGAAGCCCATGGAGGCTGTATGATCTGCCAGCTTCACACAGCTGCTAAGAGGCAGGCTTGGGATTCGGAGCCATGTGTTCTCCCCTGTCCCGGGTGGCCCTGCCTCTCACAGGCCACTTGGAATATTTGCAGAACATGATGACCTTGCTCACTTATGAGCTTCTGAACCCAGCAAGGGCACTTTTAGCCAAGTGTGCAGCATGCAAGTGCTGGACCAGATTGGTGCCTTTGCTTCCAGCCGGGACAGATGTGGGCCAGGTCATAAGTCCTTGTTGCCAGACAACAATCCTGGCTGCACCTGTGAGCCCCAGCATGGCCTGTCTGGAGGAGGCTGAGGCACAGCTGCCCTTGACCCCTCATGGCCCAGGGGTTGTACATCATGGTGCCTGGAAAGCTCCTGGGCTTGGGCTGGGTTTGCAGCACACCAGTGGGACACTGGAAGTCAGAGCTGAGGGATGGTGGCTGGAGAAGCCAGACCGGGCTCCCGAAGAGAGGAGTGTTCCAGCTGGGCCTCGAAGGAAGGGCAGAATGGTTGGAAACCATCTTCGCCAGCCTGGGAGCCCCCTGAGGCCAGGCCTGTCTCATTCACCCTATGGCCTCAATGCCCAGCATGGCGCCTGGCATGGAGCGGCCATCGGTGAGTCAGCTCATCACAAGGGGAGAACCAGCCCAGCCTCCCACGGGAACCTGCTGAGAAAAGGGGCAGCCAGAGTGCTGGTGTGTCTGCAGGCCAATGGTCCACCGTGCAGGTTTTCAAACCCATCGTAGGACAAACTCCCCTATGCACCCTGGGCTTAGGCACTCTGGGCCTCTGTCCCACACAGCTGGTGGCCTGGCACACCCAGCCCAGCCGGTGTGGTAAAACATGGTGTGTGGTCCACTCTTCTGCCCTGGCCAAAGATCTTGGTTTTCAAACTGTCTTCAAAGCGAGGTGCTGGAATGTCAGTGTGGCAGGGCCCCCCAGGGTCCCCCAGCCCACACGCTTGGTTTACATTTGGCAGCTGAGGGAGCTGGGAGTGGCACCCTATTCCCCACGGATGCCATGCCAGTCCTCCGTCCTCCCGTGGAGAGAAGCCCCTTCCACTCTCACCGGAAGGGGGCCGCGTGCTGAAGTTCTGCAGGGCTTGCGCGGAAGCAGAAGTGATTATTGTAAGAAGAGGCTGAAGAAAGGACCTTGGTGAATTCTCAAGCACGTAATGAGCATCGACTGATCATCCGTCTCTTCATTCTGCCCCTCAAGGGCCCCGAAGTCTCATCCGCAGCTCGCGCTGCTGGCACGGCCGCCCAGAAGCGGGAGCGCAGCGCTGTAATTGGGAGCGCGGCTTCTGGAGCCTCAGCAAACCGGGCCGGGGGAGTCCGAGAGTGGCCGCTTAGCTGCGTGAACGACTTAGTATCCAGTGTCTCAGTTTCCCCGCCTGTGAAACAGGCTAACGGGGCCGTCCAAACAGACGTGTTGTAAGGGGCAGATGACTGTGTACCTGGAGGCTACCGAGAACACCTTACGCTGGGGCTGTCACCGTTGTGGTTGTTATTGCTGTTGGGGGCTGCCTGGGATGGGGGGAGGATGGGGGTGGTGGGGACGACCAGTCTCTCCCAAGGGGTAAGGCCCACCCAAGGTGGCAGAGCTGGGGAGGAGACAAGTCACGTCCTACCAGCTTCCACCATGATGCCCCCAGACGCACACTCTGGCCCCTCGCCACCCCCAAAATTGTGCCCTCAGGAAACACCACAAACTTCGTTGTGTAGGCAGGAAAACATTCCATTCTAGCTGTTTCGAGTAGGAAAGTATTTAATAAAGAGAATCAGCTCACAAAAGCCCTGGAAGGGCTAGGGTGTGAAGAGCGGCCTGCAGGGGCTGGGGGGCTGGCAAAGGCCATGGGGGCGGTTTGCAGGCGTCCAGCCCCCGAGGTACAGGAGGGCCAGTGGAAGGGAAGGGAAATGGCCTGAGACCAGCTGGCGGCCCCCCTACCCTGTCACACTTGGGGTGGGGGAGGGTGGGAGAAGACGGTTGGTTGGTCCAGGGAACCACGAGGCCGCACCTCCTGTGTGTCAGGTGCTCTGCTGACAGCTCGCACATGTTCCCTGTCATTTAATCCTTAGGAATCCCTAGGACAGCCACCAGTGATACCGTGGGAGAGGTGAACTGAGAAAGGTGGGCGGAAACCAGGACGTCGTACCCCAGGGCTGTCTGCCCGTGGGCTGGGGCTGCCCCGGCTGCTCCTTGAGCCAGGCTGGGCGTCGAGGGCCACTCATCACCACCACTGCCTGGGCGTCCACCACGTGCCAGGCTGCATTCCAGGTGCTTGGAACACGGCAGCAAACGCATCCGCGTCCTGGCTGGGCGCCCTCCCCGTGCATATAAATAGCAGGGACGGTGTTTGCAGCATGAAGGGGAAAAGGCAGGGCAGGGCCCGGGCGGGGGGTGGGCGGTGGCTGCTTCACAGGGGTGGTCAGGGACGTGTGAGAGACCTAGAGGAAGGAGGGGCCAACCGCGGGGCTCCCCGGAAGGAGCATCAAGAGGGAAGAGCCAGTGCAAAGCCCTGAGGCTGTCGGCAGCTGCCAGGAGCAGGAGGCGGGTCAGGTGTGGCTGGAGAGGAGGGAGGAGGTAGGGGAGCAGGGGTGGGGAGGGGGGTGGCGGGAGGCCGTGGCGAGGCTTCAGACCCACTCAGAGTAAGACGAGTCATTGCAAGGCTTTGTGTGGGGTCATGAGGA